GACTCAGACGGCCTAGATTCCAATGCAACTGGGTTCTCTCATCCCCACAGCTATTAACCTACTTAATCTGAACAACTGGTTGTGTAGTTTACTTTTATTTGCAAAGCCCTTCTGCTTCCTCATCATACAGGCATGGCTCTTACTTGTGAACAGGCTCGTGTTATATTGAGTGTGTTGCTACGTCCTTGACCTGCCTGCAAGGCTGATTTCCCTGCTGGGACAGTAAGAAGGAAGTCAGCAGTGTCAGATGCGCGAAACTTACCGCTCTCCGACTGGCCGTTTTCCTGCTGCCTCAGGGCGTCGGGGCGCGTGTTCCGAGGAGGAGCTCTGCTGCACACAGACACACACAGACACACACATCGGTCGCAAAGCAGGAAGGCCCCAGAAACGTTTCATGAACTGGACCTTCAACAAACCTCACTCAAGTGCATCCCAGTGTCCTGGGATCTGTACTGACCAGCAGTCAGGACACTGGGGTTCACACCCCTACCCTAAACACAGTGTCCTGGGATCAGTACTGACCAGCAGTCAAGACACTGGGGTCCACACCCCTACTCTTACAGTGTCCTGGGATCGGTACTGACCAGCAGCCAGGACACTGGGGTCCACACCCCTACTCTTACAGTGTCCTGGGATTGGTACTGACCAGCAGTCAGGACACTGGGGTCCACACCCCTACTCTTACACACAGTGTCCTGGGATCGGTACTGACCAGCAGTCAGGACACTGGGGTCCACACCCCTACTCTCACACCTAGTGGGAGCTACATGCTAAACGAGTCCACGGGACTGCTCTCCTGACTGTGGATCCCTGGCTCAGTCTTCAACAGAGCAGGAACTCATCTCTGCAGAGACCGACCGGCCCTTCCGTTCTCCAGCAGGGCTTCAGAGAGAAAAAGACCAAGAGGATCCTTACTGTTTCTCCGGCTGGACCACTGCGACTCTCCGCTGCTTCTGAACTGTGAAGGGAAGAGGAAAGAGCCTGAGAGCAGGTCAGCAGACAGCCAGGCCGAAGCGATGCAGGAGTCGGGGCCTCGTGCCACAGCGAGTATCAGCCCCCAACGCCAGGCCGGGCAGAGAGGATCACGAGCCGCACCTGAGCAGCTGTGTGTGTGCAGGTCGCAGACCAGCTGAGCAAAGGCCAAGGTCTCCACAGCTGCACCTCAGCAGTACTGTCACCCTGCTAGCAGAGCTTGCAGTGGGCTCCACTGTGGGCCGGTCTCACGGTCAGTGTGGTGGACACTGCTGGGGCTCTCTCTCATGGGCACCACTGTGGGCCGGTCTCACGGTCAGTGTGGTGGACACTGCTGGGGCTCTCTCTCATGGGCACCACTGTGGGCTGGTCTCA